TGTAAGATGGGACCACAGGCAAATCACTCAATTGCTCTGCTTCACTTTTCCCACCAATACAATTAGGGAGATGCCATCTCTAGCCCAGGACCATTGTGAGAATTTGAGAAACATTCTTTCCTAAAAATCACTGGTACAGAGTAATGAAGATGTGACAATAACTGCCATTGTTAGCGTTATTGAGCACTTACTAAGAACCAAGTGCAGTTCTAAATGCGTTACATAAACGGTCTCATGTAATCCCCACACAAACACTGTCTGTGAAATAGGAGCTATTATCACTCCCGTGCTATGGGTGAGGAGACTGAGGTTTAGAGAGTGTGAAGGAACTTGTCCAGGAGTCCACAGGCAGCATCTGATTCCTTGCAGCCTGCACTCTTAAGCCCTAAGCTATAAATGGCAGCTCCCTCCCCCCTTCTCCTTAAAGGTTAAAACAGAGGGTAGAGCCAATCCTGTGGGGATAAAACAGAACAAAGACCTCCGAAAGGAAGGAAGCCAAGGGAATGTATGCAAGCAGGCGCCTCAGAGAGTATGGAGGCTCAGTTTGCCCCTAAGCTTCCTGACAGCTGTAGCAGGAAGGAGGGGGGAAGCAGAATTCCCAAGGTCCATTTTCTAGAAAAAAAGGAGGCACAGAGACGTGTCTAAATGGACATTTGTCTCGGGTTGAAATTCCAGGAGAGTTGATCTTGTGGCCTGCTCCGCAAACATCCAGGGCCAGAAAATCATCTATGATGATTTTTCATCTATGATGATTTAGTGATGGGCACTAAAAGCCCATTTACACACGTGATTCTGAGAGTCAGAGGCAGAGGGGGAAGAAAACACATGAAATTCTATCCCAGAGGAGAACCTTGCTAGACTCCAACTTCCCACAGCAGTATGGGGCATGGGAGGGGACTTAGGCCCTGTTTCTGTGTTTGTCTCTCTCCACAGCACACACCACACAGCCCCTGTGGGAAGAGCCCCAGGTCCCTGGTCTACCTGGGGACATGACACTCTTCCAGAGACTGGGCCTAGGGATGGATGGCAAGTGAACCAGGGCAATGTTGTGGGAGAGGGTCAGACTTCCAGAGCCTGGAGTGGGGGGCGGGGGCAGGGGAGGGCTGGGTCTGTCAGTCTGGGCCTGCTGGAAGAGGCAGAGCAGGAGGAACTGGTTGTGGGATTTGGAGAGGATGATAACACCAGGGCCAGTGGAAGGGTATTTTAGGCAGAAGGAGCAGCAGTGGGTGGTTCAGGGTTTGCTTTTCCCCATGCTCAGATATTGCCCCTTTTGATGTCCCCTTTCCTGGAATTCTGCCTGGAGAGCCCTCCATGCCACCCACCTCAACCCACCCCACTCATACAGGGGAGGCTGACTCCCCCCATCCACCTGGATTGAGAGAGGGGAGAGAGAGACTTGTGTCTGAATCACCTTCTGCCCAACACTGCAAGACCAGTCTGCCTTCTCCAGCTCAGGTATCATGGCTCACTTTGTGGTCCAGTACGATGTAGTCATGGAGGATGTCATTGGAGATGTGCAGGTGAGGGAGCTGGGAGGAATGGAAGGAACATGGGCTCTGGAGTCAGACAGGACTGGCCGGTAATCCAGCTTCTGCAAGTTATTCATCTGTTTTTCCTTAGAGATCAGTGGGGACAAGTGAACATGGACAGAATGATGTATGGGGACACAAGACTTCACAGCATGGGAGATACATATGCTTCCTCTAAGTGTTGGAGACCTGAAACTCTATAAATGGAATAAAACTCCAAATGAATCCATTCCTTTTTAGAGCTTGTTTGGAGGTTCTAGCAGGGGAGCGCAGCTACTTGTATACCCTTGACCGAAGAACAGTCCTCCTCTATCGGGGATGGTTGTCCTCTTCCACTGAGCTCACAGTTTTGGGAGGGACGCACATGGAGCGGTGAGGGAGGAAGGGGACACCTGCCTAGCCAGCCAGATCAGCCGAATCAACCCTGGCGATCAATGGGGTGACAGATGTCGCAGCCAGATCGCCCTCACATCCGAATCCATTCCTTTTTAAAAAGATTTTATTTATTTGTTTGTTTGAGAGAAACAGAGAGAGAGTGAGAGCGAGCCTAGGCACACAAGAGCAGGAGCAGGGGGAGAGGGAAGGGCAGAAGGAGAAGCAGACTCCCTGCTGAGGGGGGTTGTGGGGGGGCACAACACAGGGTTATGACCTGAGCTGAAGGCAGATGCTTAACCAACTGAACCACCCAGGTGCCCCGAAATGAATCCATTCCTAATTGAATCAAGTTATAGACCACTCTTAACAAGTCCTTTTGGAAAGTGAACCATTGGCCAGTGTAATTGGATTCTTACACTCATGGGACTCTTATTACACTTTCTGCAGCTCTGATGCTCTCATGTTCCCTCAGGCTTTCTTGCCGTCTCTAAGTTTTAAAAATTCTTTTTGCCTCACCTGAGCCATCTGCCTAAACAGGGAGCCCTTAATTCAGAGCTCACACATTCATGAGGAATATGCAGAGATCCCATGCTCTGCCAGGGGGGTAGAGCATGGAACCAAAACCCTTGGCCTGACAGCAACGACTGCATAGCAACCTGAGATGTCTGATCCCAGCCTGCCTTTCCTGCCATACCTCTCACCGCCTGCAGTGCATAAACCACCCTCTGGCTGCTCCACACCACACCACACCACACCACACCACACCACACCACACCACACGCCTTTCTTCACATCACCCAAATTTGCCACTCATTTCTGTCTGAGCATTTGCTCATATTATCTGCTGCCCTGGGAATGTCTTCTCCCTCCTTTCTCCGCTGGTCAGGGTGGGTCCTCGTCCTTGAAAACCTTGCTCAAATGCCACCTCTCTGATGACCCCAGCCCACTGACAATTCCTCCCTCTGCTCTAGGCTAATATAGTGCTTTGGTAACACCTCTCTCATATTTACTCATTCGTTCATACATAGATACATTGCCACCAAGCAGAGCTACCCTAGCTCAGTCCTGTCCTCATTGACTCTAGGAAGTCAGAAATGAGGTGGACACAACCCCCCCTCTTCCTTTGGAACGTTCCAGTCCTGAAGCAGCCAGATACATAGAGCTATGGCAGTCATAAAAGGTTCTGAGTGCTGTGTATAAACTGTAATGGTTATGTGTGGATACCACTGAGGAGTGTTTCAGGAAAGCCTTCCTAAAGGAGTTGGCCTTTAAATTAGCCTGGGAAAATATGAATAGACTCCACCTCTGGGTCGATGGGGTGAAGGGAATAGCACGCAGAGAGAGTGGGGGGGGGCAGTATGTGCAGAGGCACAGAGGTATGGTACAGCCCTTTGTGGAGGGGGAATAAAATACTTCACCCTCTCAAAATAGGAGCTGAGGGTACCCTGCCAGTAGGTGGCAGCAGGGGCCTCGACCTGGTGGTGTTCTAGCATGTGGGTGTGTTAATTGTATTTGTCTGCTTCTCCCTTCTTTACCTTCTTGACCATTGCCTGGAGTAGAAATACAATTAGAACAGACGGAATTAGGCACTAAATAGTAAGACAGATACTGCCGTTTACTGTGTGCCCTGCCTCCTGCATCCTCTAACGAGAACCCTTCAATTGACCTCCCATTCCTGCTTGAGTATGCCTGTCTTTCAAAGCCCAGCATGTTCACCCCTTCATTCATTCAGTTGGGACTCCCTAGGTACCTGATATGCTTCATGCCTACTGCTGGCTGATGTGGGGAACCCTGAAGTGAATCACACACAGATCCTATCCATCGTCAACAAAGAGACACAAAAGATGAGAAGTGTTCTTTCAATGACAACACAAGGTAAGACAGATGCCATCATGGGGGAAGAAGGTGGTCAGGGAGGGCTCCGTGGCAGAAGTAAAGACTGACGTGGGTTAAAGAGTACAAAAAGAAAAAAAGAAGTGTACCAAACTGGGAGGGGGGCTGTGAAAAGGGAAAGACATTCTAGACAACTGGGGGCTGCATGATTCAGGGGATGAAGGCCAGAAATATCCAGGGGGTGTTTGGGGAGCCTCAAATAGGTTGGAGTTCCTGGAGCATGGATTTGAGGCACAAGAAATGGTTAAGAGGTGAGACTGAAGGCTACAGCAGGGGCATGATATGGAACATGGAATGTGTCTTGAAGGTGACAAGGGAGCCATGAGAAGGAATGACATAATGGGGTTTGAGTTTAGAAAGACCAGACTGAGCAGCTGCTCCAAAGATGTATGGATGGGAGGGGCCACAATAGAAGCAGCGGAACCAAAGAGAAAGAAGTCCCGAATTTGGGTTTTGTGAGTTTGGGATGGAGAGGAAGGGCGGACCCGAGATATATCCAGAAGATTAAACCAGCAGGAATTGGTGGCTGGTTGGATGTGCCCCTGGGAGTGAGGGGCACAGGAAGATTTAGGGATGACCCTCAGGTTTGTATCTGGAGTGGCCATGTGGATGATAGGGTCTGTAAATGACAAAGGCACACAAGGGCAGGATGGCGGAAATATATGAACTCATTGTTTGGGCAGAATACATTGGAGGCATCTTCAGACATCCATGGGGATGGGTCCAACAGTGAGCAGCTATGCAATTGTGGAGGGGGAAGAATGGAGAGCATTGGACTGGAGAAAGAGGTCTTAGGTCATTGTGGAGATTCAGAGACTGAAAGTACGGGAGTTAGGGAAGTGACCCAGGGAGAATGTATTGAGCCAGAAGAGCAGATCCAGGATGGCAATTGCTAAGTTAGCACAGCTTCCCAGTCCAGCAGCTATTGATCTCCTCAGCTCTCAGGGTGTGCAGCCCCACCAGCTGCCAGCAGTCTGCTCAGAGCTCTATATCCCCACCACTTCCCTCCATTGTGCTACACCAGCATAATCATTTTCTTTGCATGCCATGGCTGAAAAAGTATCAGGAAGCACTGCTTAAGGGACAGAGGGAGAAAATGGAGCTCAAGAAAGAGACTGAAGCAAATGGGCCAGAGAGCTGGTAGGAGGATAAGGAGAGTTCACCACCTCAGATTCCCAGGACAAAGGATTCTTCTTGGGACCAAAAGTGATCGATCAGCAATTGCAAAATACATCAGGGAGATGCAGTCCAATAAGAATCAAAATACACCCACTAAGTTTGGAAACCAACTTGTTATTGTTGCCTTTAGTGAGAAAAGAGTCAGTGTGTGGTGAGGGCTGAAGCCAGTCTGTGGTGTGGAAAGCAATAAGCTGGAGGTGAGGAGACCACTGTAGGTGATGATTTCATTACCTTGGCATGCTGTAGGGATTAGAGAAGATGGTTTGAAGTTCTGATGGGATTGGGGCCAATGGGGATTGTCCTAATGGATGGAAAAGACACACAACTTTTCATACTCTAAAGAAGACCCAAGTAGCATGTGTGGGGCAGGTCAGAGAGAAGGGTCTGACCAGTGGAGGAGGTGCTGGAGGCTGGGAGTGCATGGGGTCCAGGACAGGACTGTTCTGTCCTTAATAGAGGAAGTGGTGTATGGGTGTGTGAACCCTGTGCAAGAGTGTGGTGGGCGGTCCAAGGGGCATGGCCTGGTGCCCTTAATTTTCTTCATTAGGAAGGAAAGGAAACATTTCCTGAAAGTGAGGTGGCATGGCAGCTGAGGGGAGCGTGAGAGGTTGGTGACCTGGGTCATGCCTCTGGCTTATAGGATGTGAGGTGTGAGGCCACCAGGGAGCCTGGGACCATGAAGAGATAGGAATGTGATATTTCCGGAAACTCTCACCTACCCAGGTTATGGGAGGAATAGCAGGGCAGCTGGGCTCTGCCGTGGGCTTGGGCAGTTGCAGGATGGACGACTCAGGCTTTGGAGACCTGCTGTAGAGTGCCAGGAGAAAGTGGAGACAGAGCCTGCACATGTACTTGTGAATTAACTCAAAGGCTGGAGTGGAGGGAAAGAGTAAGATATCCTTCCTTAGCCTCCTTCCCCCCTGAGAGAGGAGGAGGTAGTATGTCCAGCCTTGTGATCAGACAGTACCTGAATGGCAGAGAGGAGAACAAAGCTGGTTGTCCCAAGGCAGCGCTTCCTTCTGGCTACTGAGCAGCACAGACCCTCAGCAAGCCCCATACTTCCCTAGGCTGAGCTGACACTGGTCCTGGGGGCCCTCCCAGCTCCCCCCTCCACGTCCCTCAGCTGTTCCAGCCTCCAGGCTCTGCAGAGGGAAGATGGAGTAGCGGGAGGGGGCCGGCAGCCAATCACATCCTTGGCAGCCCAAGGCATCTGCACCTGGTCTAACCAATCCCCTCTGAACAAACAGCTTGCTCAGCCTCTGCTCCCTCCTTCCCTGCCTACTCTGCCCAGCAACAGCAGGAAAGAGGTTTAAGGAGGAGAGGGAGGCCCTGCAAACTCCCAGCCCCTGGCAGCAATGGAGCTGGGCCCCTGGTTCACTCTATAGAGGGAGGTTAAAACAATACTTAAGTTCCTGGAGCCCAGGCAAAATGTCCCCAGGGGCTCTCAAGACTGTGCAAGTCAGCTCTCATGGACAGGAACTCACATATTACAGAGATCCTGATCCTTGGAGCCTTGGGCCACAAGCCAGTCTCATTCACTCCACAGCTCTGGGGCAGGCCCTGGGCTGACAGCCTGAACAGCAGAGACACAGTTCTGTCAGAGGAGATGGACACTGACACAAACAATCACACAGTTGCCTATTTAACTAGAAACAGAGTTAAAGCCTACGAAGGAAAAAAAAAAAAAAAAAGCAGGGTGTTCCATAGGAGAATAAGAGGGAACCTGATAACCTGATTTAGACCGTCTGTCATGGTTCCTGTTGGTTTCACTTCTTTTTGTCAAGATTTGCGAGGGCTATTTTATTCATTACTTTGCCCCCAGAGGCCTCCCTCCTGTCAAGAGAAACATGGTATTTGTTATTGACGTGAGCGGCTCCATGTTTGGTACTATGATGAAGCAGATAAGAAGGACTCTGCAGACCTTTTGTAGCTTGTTTTAGAAGGCTCAGAAAGCAGAGAGTGCTGGAACAGTGGTCCTCTGGGACCAGAGACTCTACCTCCCATCACTCTTGGATCTTATAGGCCAAGGCCTACCCAAAGGTCCTGGAACCTTGCACATCAGGAGCCATGAAGACCTGAAATCACAGAGTACTAGAAACGTTGAACATTGGACAACGGGACTGTAAATAAACATCAAGGGCCTTAGCCACAAAGCTTCAGATCTCCAAGGGGCCCAGAGTCATAGAACCTTCAAGCTGGAGAACTCTGGTGTCATAAAGCCTGAGTCAACAAATAAAAATAAAACCACAGTCAATTTAGACTCTGAACCTTCCACAGGCCACAGGTTGGTTTTGTCTTCTGTTGTTTATTTTACTTCACAGCCAGAAAAATACAGTGCACTGGCATTGTAGTGCTTAGAGACTACAGAGTCCTGGGTCCATCTAGATTTAAATATTGTAGCCCTTCTACCAGAGTGCCCTTAAAATGGAAAACTGGAGCCATAGGCCAAAGAGATTTTGAGCTTAGAGCCTGAATCTATAAAGTTCTGGAAGCAGTATTTTGAACTACAGTACTCTGGGATTCTAGAATTATAATGTTCAAGTGACCTGGAGCAGTATGGTCTATGTGCCTTGAAATTTTGAACCATAGAGCCCACAGGACCTAAGGCTACTAACTTGTATTTTACCAGAGTGTAACCAAACTGGGGGAAGGGAAATATCGAGAGCTGTCTTTTTGTAGTCTTAAGTGTAGGGGAAAGACATACCCAATTCCAAACTGTCTAGCCTTCCTATCTCATCTAGAGTCAGGAAAAAGCTGAGGAGCACTTGTGGAGGTCATGTTTCAGGGGCATAGGTGCCCTAAAAGACCAAGACCGAAGCATAGAACTATGAAATGCTTCTCCTTCCCTCACACAGTATCACCACATGCACTGCATTCCTGTATAACAACAGGAGATTACAGCTGAGGGTACTGGAAGCCTAGGCTCTTCAGGAAAGAATATCCTGAGAAACCCAAGACAAGAGAGGAGTCGAAAACAAGGACCCTAGAAGAAATTTTAGCCTCTGACACATGCAACTGTAGCAACTAGCAAGCACGATTGAATTACTCACCAAGTAATCTCAAATCACACAAAATCTCACACTTAAAGGTCTTTTTATGTGATACATCATGTCTGCTTTCACCAAATACTTACAAGCCATGCCCAAATGAAAAAACATGGTCTGAAAAGATAAATCAACCATCAGAACCAGACTGATATGGTAGAGAAATGATTAGACCTGGAATTTATAACAGCTATGACTAATATGCTAAGGGCCCTAAGTGTGAAAAGTGGGCAACATGCAAGAACAGATGGGAAATGCAAGCAGAGATGGATACCCTAAGAAAACCAACAGTAAGTGCTAGAAATAGAAAATGCTGTAACAGGAATGAAAAATGCCTTTGATGCGGGCTCATTAGGAGACTGATCATGGACAAAAAGCAAGTCAATAAGCCTGAGGATATGTTAATAGAAACTTCCCAAACTGAAAAGCCAAGAGAAAAAAGAACGCAAAACAAAGTAAAACAGAAGAGAGTATCCAAGAACTGTGTACAATTACAAAAGTATAGCATATGTGTAATGGGAATACCGGAAGGAGAAGAAAGAAAGTAACAGAAGAAATAATGGAAGGAATACTGGATACAAATTTTCCAAAATAAATGACAGCCACTGAACCAACCACAGGTCTAGGAAGTTCAGAGAACACTATAGCAGGATTAGTACCAAAAAAGTCTACACATAGGCCTATCCTATTCAAACTGCAGAAAATCAAAGACAAAATTCTTTAAAAAGCCCATAGAAAATATCACCTTAGTTATACAGGAACAAGAATAAGAATTATATTGGATTTCTCTTGAAAAACCATGCAACAAAAAGAAAGTGAACTATGTAACGCACTGAAGGAAAAAAAGAGTGTTAGAAAAAGGAATAAATTAAGGTTAAACAATACTCTTTTCTTTTTAAATTAATTGATCTAACAAAAACAGTTTGCTCAAAATAATTATAGAAATAATGTGTTCAGTGAATACAGCTTATTGATAAGTGAAATTAGTGACAGCAATGTTATAGAAGAGACAGGAGGGATGAACTCGGAATATTCTATCACAGGATACTTGCACCACACATGAAGCTGTATAGTGTTTTTTGAAAGTGGACTTGGATTAGTTGCAAAAGCATATTCCACATTCTAGGGCAAACATTAAGAAAAAAATTAAAGACATAATGGATATGCTAAGAAACAAGAGAAAATGAGATCATATCAAACACTCAGTTAAAACCACAGAAGACAGAGAAAGAGTAGTAGAATGAAAAAAAGGAAGGAAGAAAGGAGGAAGGGAGGAGGATGGATGGAAGGAAGGAAGAAGAAAAACAAGGGCAGCAAATAGAAAACAGTTAAAAATATGGCAAATATTAATCTAACTCTAACAGTAATCATGTTAACCATAAATGGTCTAAATACACCAATCAAGAGACAGAGACTATCAGTGTTGATTCAAACAAAACAGAACATAACAAAAACAAACAAACAAAATCAGACCTAATTATGTGTTGTCTACCAAAAACCCATTTTAAACATAAACACACAGATGGATTAAAAGTAATGGTATGGAAACAAAAGACATACCATGCTAACACGAATCCTAAAAAAACTGGAGGAGCTATATTAATTTCAGACAAAGTAGACTTTACAGCAAGTAAATTATCAGGGATAAAGAGACCATTGTATAAAGGAACAAAAAGCAAATTTCCCTGACAGATAACATGCTGCTCGATCTCTTGGTATACATGGCATCACCTGCATGGAAGATCTGTCTGATTCACAAGATCTATACTACTGTAAAGTGTTTCTTCTTTGAAACCTTCCTGTGGCCCTTCAAATGATCTTCTCCATGAAGTGGAATGAAGAAAAAGAGTACCCATTTTGCAGAAGGTGTGGATGCCAGCAATAGGGAAAACCAGATCAACAGGCCTATTAGAAGGATAAACTAAGGTATCTACCATCATTATTTCTGCAATTTGGCCAGTTAATAAACAATGACTACTTTCAAACTGAAAAAAATCTTATATAACTATAATTACATAATAACTCCCCAAGAAGACACGACAATCCTTAATGTGTAATGCACCTAGCAATAGGATGTCAAAATACATGAGGCAAAAAGTGATAGGACTGCAAGGAGAAATAGACAAAACCACTGTTATAGTTAGAGACTTCAGCTCCTTCTGTCATAAATGGACAGATCCAGCAGGCAGAAAATCAGTAAGGACATAGTTTAACTGAACAGCACCATCAATCATTTGGATCTAATTGACATCTACACAATACGTCATCCAACAACAGCACAGTACACATCCATCTCAAGCTCACGTGGAATATTTGCCAGGATAGACTGCCTTGTGGGCCATAAAACACGACTTAACAAATTTAAAAGAATGGAAATCATACAATAAATATATGCTCTCAGACCAAGTGGAATTAAACTAGAAACCAAAAACAGAAAGGGAGCTGGAAAATCTCAACAGACTAAGCAACACACTTCTAAACATGTAATCTGCCTCTGGTTAACAGGAGATTCTCAAGAAGGGTCATCATGTTCTATGTTGCAGTCCTCTGAATGAAAACGAATGAATGGTTAAATCCTTAAAACTATACAACTCTTAGGCCTTAGTACCTTGTATAGAAATAACCTTTCAATCTTGAGCAAGACCTGAGCTCCCTGTTCGAGAATGTGTGACCTAATCTATACCCTGAGCTCGTCCTGCGGCATGAAAGACTCTGATCCACTTAAAAGCATTCAAGGCATCTTCTATCCATTTAAGACGTAGAGAATGGTGGGCCACAAAGTGGTATTTCCTGTTGTCTCTGAAATCTATAGCAACGTAAAAATTGGAAAGCATAAGGTTTAACACCTCCAAAATATGGATTTGAGCCCCTGGCTCATCAGTGACACACATCATGTGTGACGTTGAGCAAGTCACTCCACCTCTCTGAGCCTCAGTGTTGTCACTTATAAAATGGGTATGATATTAGTACCGTTGTCATTGTGTTGCTATGACAATTAAATGAGCTGATGCATCTAAATATTTAGCACAAATAAATAAATAAATATATAGCACAGTGCCTGGAACATAACAAGTGCCCTATAAGTGGTACCTAATATGAGAAACTACATCCCCCATTCCCTGAACCTACTGTGTGCCTAGCCCTATGCTAGGTATCGTCATCAGGAAGGGAGCTAATAGGAAGAAGCATCCTAAGCCCTGTTCTCAGAGGGCTCAATATCTGTGTGGAAAACGAAAATATTCCACATACAACAGCCAGCGAACCATCTGGGACAGGGAATATCTGGGTGCCAGGGGCATGGGTCAGAGTAAGCAATCAAAGAAGTGCTGCCCAGAGAAGGAGCAACTGAAGGAACAGTGAAGATATGAATATGTAAAGGAGAAGGGGGTGGGGGAAGGTCTGTTATCTAAAGGGCACAACAAGAGCAAAGTTGTGGAGAAAAAAAATCACGTGGAATCTGGGTTTTCTGGGGGCTGATGAGAAGGTCAGCCTGGAAGAAATGGAAGGTGAGGTGGAAGAACAGATTACTTAGGACAGAACCAAAGTATGCCAATTCACAGGAAGGAAGTTATAAAGACCTAGAATCATAAAACTCTCAAGCTTTAGGGTCCCAGAATCACTGAATCCTGGGTCATGGGGTCCAGGAACCATGGAACACACAGGATCCTAGCACCCTGAAAGCACAGAGTTTGAACCTTCTAGTCCACCACTGTCTAACAGGACTACCTTACCTTGATGATGGAAATGTTCTAAAGTTCTGAGGTGTCCAATTTGGTAGCCACTGCTCTGCAATAACCGTCACATGGTTATGGGACACTTGAAATGTGGCTACTGCAAGTAAAGAAACAGACTTTAACGTTTTCCTTTAACTTACATTGAAATAGCTACGTGTGGCTAAGCAGTTACAATTGGACAGTGCAATTCTAGGCTTAGAGCCATAGGGCCTCTAGCATGTCTCCCTGAGAATTCTAGATTTACAGAGTGTTGGAGTCAGAGTCTTAGAGCCATACGACACTTAGGCCTTAGTACCTCACATAGAGATAACCTTTCAGTCTTTTTTTTAAAAGATTTTATTTATTTATTCATGAGAAACCCAGAGAGAGAGAGAGAGAGAGAGAGAGAGAGAGAGAGAGAGAGAGGGCAGAGACACAGGCAGAGGGAGAAGCAGGCTCTATGCAAGGAGCCCGACGTGGCACTTGATCCCGGGACTCCAGGATCCTGCCCTGGGCCTAAGGCGGGTGCTAAACCGCTGACCCACCTAGGGATCCCCCAACCTTCCAGTCTTGAGCAAAACTTCAGGCCTTGGTCCACCCCCTTCACTTCATCCACATCCCACAAACTAACAAGGCCATGAATGTGATCCTTGGTGACCTGCAGGCCGACTACTTCAACATCATCACCTTTTCTGATTCGGTTAGTGTCTAGAAAGCTGGAGGCTCCACCCAGACTACTATCCAGAATTATCCACAGCACCAAGGACTACCTGGCCACATGGAAGCTGATGGTTGTAAGTGTTAGACCTGGCCACTCAAATGGATGGGCTGTGGTAATGTGAGGAGTTCCTTTTTATTTTTTATTTAGTTTTTAACTTTAGTTTTTCTATTTTAAGGAGGCCCCACACCCAATGTGGGGCTCAAACTCATGACCCTGAAATTAAGAGTCACATGCTCTACCATCTGAGCCAGCCAGACACCCCAGATGTGGGGAATTCTCAAAATGCTCCCTTCATTCCCCATCCACCTCACCTCTCACAATACCTGAAATATCACTATTATGTTTTCTACAAATATGTCCCTTCATCTTCTGTGTTCTTTTTCCTAGTAGAAAGAACATAGTTCTATGTATTTTAGGGTACATTCTTCCTTGGCTCTGAGTTTCTCTTTAAAGCACATACTCAGGAGAATTTGCCAAAACTGTTTAAAATCAATAATCTACATACTTATTTCCAAGCATTTGGTCAAGCTTTTGAGCAAAATCATCTCTCAGAAAAGTACCGAAGTCTCCCCGATCAAACACCTCCCGTCAACTCATCCATTTTTTTCCCCTGTAGCATGGAGGTGAGGTTGCTATCCTTGGGGAGCTGCCTGTCTGACTAGAGGATTAGATATCCCCCCAGGAAACAGGCAAATCGTAGTCTGGGACAGGGCGTGATAAAAGCCAAGAACATGTGGGCCCCACTGTCAGATCTCAGGGAGCCTGTGTCGGGGTGGGGGAGCTGGGAAGGATAAGCAGCAGAAAAAGTCTGAGCAAGGATGATGAGAAATTCCTGAGCCAGAGAGGTTGGTGAGGTGCCCAGTGTGTCTGCATTGGGAAAAATAACCAGAAATAACCAGAAAAGATGGTCTCACAGTCTGCTTCCCACTTAGGGACCAACATCAAAGCAGCTCTGCTAAACCACAGCAACCAGGAGACTGCACGGGGACCCAATGTGGGGAGGACCCCTCTCATCACCTTCCTGACAGATGTGGAGCCCACAGCCAGTGTGATGACGCCCAGTGTGATCCTCTCCAACATCTGACAGGCGCTGGGCAACAGGGTGTCCTTTTTCACTTTGGCCTTTGGGGATGAGGCTGACTTCCCACTGCAATGTCACCTATCCCTGGAGAAACGGGGAGCAGCCCGGTGCATGCACGAGGACACTTGACACAGCCCTACAGCTGGTGGAGGACCTCTCTGAGGAGATCTCCATGCCTCTGCTGGCAGACATGCATCTGGACTACCTGGGTGGCTTGGTAGGGGCCTCCCCTTGGGCCTTTTCCCCCAATTACTTTGGCGGCTCAGAGCTGGTGGTTGCAGGACAGGTGCAGGCAAGCAAGCAGGAACTGGGCATCCAGGGTCAGCTTCTTGTGGCCTGCTACAGCGAGGCAGCCGCCAACAGCAGCCAGAAGAACTTTGGTGTCCCAGGGGAGCCAGCCTACAACATAGCCCACTCACCTGCTGCCTACCTCTGGGCCTACCTCACCATTGGAGAGTTGCTGGAGGCATGCTTCCAGGCCCGTGACACCACCGCTTGCCACCTGCTGGCAGCCAAAGTCCCCAACCTGTCCCTTGAATATGTGAACTTTGTCACATCTCTGACTTTACTGGTCGTGCGGCCCAAGGACGCAAGTGGGAAGGCCAGGATACAGACTTCCACTGCAGCTGGACCAGGCACCATCATGCCCTCACCCACCAGCAGGCATGGCCTAAGGACAGGCACAACCCAGTCAGCCCTGGTATCCAGGGTCTCTCCCAAATCAAGGCTTGTGAAACCAAGGTTCTAGTTATCCTCAACTACTCCTGCCTCTACAAACATTATGCCCAGTTCCAAGGAGTTGGAGCCACTGGGCCAGAGCACTAGTACCCTATCCACCCCAAGCACACCCAAAGCCCAAACATCCAGCACAACACGATCCTGGCACTTTGGTTCAACCAAGTCTCAGAACAACAACTGCTACCTTTGTGCCCTCAAATGCTGGTCCCTTCTTGCTTCTGAAGCCCAGCGTACCATCACACCAGTATCCTGGTACCCTATCCCCATGAATTCCAAGACACAAGTCCCACCTCTGAATCCTGGCACCTTATCCCAGGCCAAAGCTGGCACTATCAAACCTGTTATTCCACTGCACTCCGAACCTGGTGCTCCATCACAACCCAAACTGGATGCTCTATCACACCCCCAACCTGGGGTACTCATATCACAGTCACCCAAAAGGCTGCCACAGCCCAAGCCTGGAGTCTCCACACTTCAGATCCCCAAATGCCTATAACACACTAGACCAAAGGTTCCTGCTCACCAGACCCCAAACAATCTGTCACACCCTAAACCCAGGGTTCTCTCATGTAACACCTCCAAAATCCCATCACCTCTTAAACCTAGTAGCCCACCTCCCCCCAAATTACCCAAGCTTATCATTTCCCAAACCTAGGACCCCACTCCCCAATAAACCCAAAACCCCATAACCCCCCAAACCTGCCAGACCTGCGTCCCCACCTCTTCAGGATCCAAGCACATCCACGAGCACAACCTCAAGTCCCACAAGTCCCAGCAGTACCATGATCACTTCTGTCCCTGGAGAACACCTCTCTATTCCCTTTGACCTCACCCTGAGGAACCTCTGGCATCAGCATGACCTGCTTCTGGGGCCCCAAAGCACCACACACATTCTGGGACCATCTGTGTCAGAAGACCCAACAGTGATCCTACCCAGCAGCTCTGGTCTTCTGCTGGAAGGCAGCTGCCCAAACCTGCCAGTCTTGCTGCCTTCTTGCACCCTCCCTGATGTAGAGAGCCTGCTCCATCTCCCTGAGGAGCTAGAGCTGTCGCATGAGTCAGTGGTGGAGTCCGTGTTCATGGAGTCCTTGAACCCACCAGCTTTCTATACCTTTCTCCCTCTTGATGAAGATGGTGAGTGCCATGGGCAAGAGGTCAAGCCATGGCGGCGGGGGGCGGGGGAGGTATGAATGGGGAGCTCCAGGAACTGGTAGCATACAAGGCATTCTGCAGATTCTAGTGATAACCCAGTTGCCTGCTTGCTTGCTTTGAGACTTCAAATCAGCTATTTAACCTCTCTGGGCCTCAGTACATAAGCACAGAATTAGAGGCTTTGAGGGAGGAGGGATGTTAAGACTGGGAAGGATAAACAGAAACTAACTGGTCAAGCTGTGGTTTTGACATTTGCTTTGTTGGACAAGAGAATTGCTCATGCGTCTCAAGCAGGGTAGGGATACAGGGTTATAAATGGAAGCATCACTGGGCAAGGCAAGTCTGCTTAGTTCTTTTGTGCTCTGTAAACAGCCCTGTTTAAGGAGAGGGGTATAAACACTGGAAAAGATAATTATCTTTAAATTTCCCAAAGACTGTGACGCACTAACTGTTAACATTTTCTAGTCCTTCCGATGTGAAGGTACTGCTCTACATATTGTACTTGTAAGTCCCTCATTTACTACACACACACACACACACACACACACACACACACACACACACCCTGTTAATAACTGCATTTTACTCTTTGGTAAGCTGAAGCACAGTGAAGTGAAGTAACTTATTCCATGTCACACAACTAGTAAGAGATTCGGACCTACATGATTTGGTCCCAGACTGAAGGTACTCCACCCCTCCATTGTTCTGTCTTCCTAAGAAGAGCAACATTTCCTGGGTGACCTCATAGGGCAGGATTAGAGCCAGTTGATGGTGGCAGTAAATCAGAGCTGCCGCAGGGATATAAATTTGGGCATGAGATCCTTCACATGCCCCTCTCCCTCACCACCCACCAATATCTTCATCCATCTTCAATTCTTGGCAATGTTACCTCTGACATATTTCCCAAATGCACCCACTTCTCATCACCCCAACTATTATTATCTTAGGGCAGACTGCCATTGTGTTTACCCTAGAAAACTGGTCTCCCTGCTTCCTCTCTTGGGAGATTTTCTTTGCCATTTTCCTCCAGCAGCAAAGGGGTCATTTAGAAACAAAGATTACTTCGTGTCCCTTTCATACTTAACTCCCCTCAAGGGTTTCCTGTCACACCTAGAATGAGATCCAAAGTTCTCTTGATAGCCCACAAGGCCCTGCATGATCTACCCTCTACCCCATACCTCTCTGACTTCACTTTCTCCCACTCACTCTCTGAACCCTAGCCCCACTGGCCTCCTCTCTGTTCATCCAATGGGCCCTGTCTCACCCTCATCTCCACTCAAGGACCTCTCTCAAGCTGTTCCTTCTGTTTGATGATCACTCTGCCCTGCCCTGTCACTTGTCTAGCATCCTCATCTCTTCCATTGCCACTCAAATTCCAGACCACACATTAGATCTCAGCTCAGATGGCCTTCCCACCCTCCCCACAACTGCCCCAGACTTCATTATATGTCTATAATTCCCTTGGTCACTTTATTATTTTTTTCTGGGGCTCCTAGCTGCTCCAGTCTGTAGAGCATGTGGCTCTTGATCTCGGGGTAGTGAGTTCGAGCCTCACGCTGGGGTATAGAGATTACTTTAAAAAAGTACTGGATGTTGTGTGTAAGTGATGAATCACTGAATTCTACTCTTGAAACCAATATTGCTCTGCTTGTTAACTAAAATTTAAATAAAAATTCAAAAAGGAAAAAAATAAAATTTTGATTAAACTACTGAAAAAAATCTGAGAGAGAGAGAGAGAGAGCGCAAGATGCCTGAAGACCCAGACATAGAAGCAGAGGAGTCAAGATACACAGTGACACATATAGAGACATGACACAGGGACACAGAGGTAACCAGGAAGACATAGGTAAACACCTTAGTCCAAGACACCAAGGACTAAGAAGTAGAGGCACAGAGACACGCTGACATGATGACTTACAGATATGGGATAGGGGATGAGAGGAGAAAATAGAGACACAGGACAACAGATCTATAAAAGCATAGAAACAGAGATGTTGCACAGACCAAGACTTGGTAACAGAGACGCAAGGACATGAGCACATGCAGAGGAGCACACTAGGAGCAAAACTGGAGCACAACCTTATATATTCAGAGATCCAGTGGCAAAAACGTGGGGATGCAGACACCCAAGCTGTGACAAACACCAGCTAAGACGTAGGAGTTAGGCTAGGTAACAGAGAGACATGCCTTTCAAGAAAGGCAAGCTGGAGACCCAAGTATAATGGAGACCCTATGACACAGGGACACAGGAAGAGAGAGAGAGAGAGAGACAGAGAGAGACAGAGAGATCCTAGAATAGGATCCCTAGACACAGGGATGAGAAGCCACAAAGACAACCATATGGATACAGGCTAGAAATGGGAACAGAAACACAGGAGCATGTCTGGGAGGACCAAGATAGGAACAAAGAAACCTAGACAAATTGAAACAGACACAAAGAACATCAACAAATGGGCAGAGACACGGTGACAAGGAAATCTATCCAGAGAGGCAGGGATGCAAAGACACAGAATAAAGATAAACCTGGGGATAGAAACAGAAACATACAAATAGGCAACCAAGGACACAAATGAAGAGATAGGGAGAGTGAATCAGGCACAGGAACACAGAGAGTGATTCAAAAATAAAAAGTTATGCGCAGGAGAATACAAAGATGGCAGTGGAGTAGTGGGATGCTATGCTTACCTTGTCACATGAACACAACTAGATAATTATCAAATCATCCTAAATAGCCCAGAAATAGACCTGAAGACTGACAGAACAACCTCCACAACTAGAGGGAGAAAAGAGGTCACATTGAAAAAGATAGGATGTGGGGAGACATGGATTAGGAGAGAAATGGATCCTGGGGGCTGCAAAGGGGAAGAAGCTGTGGTTGCAGAGAAGGGAGGGGGGCACACAAGGGAATGCACACAGGGGATGCTCCCCCAAAGCCATTGGCTTGGAAAACGAGAGGGGCTGAATTTCATGAGTTCTTGCAACCAAGGGGGCTTAAAGGCTGGAGTTTTAAAGGTCAGTGGGCTTGGCTGGAATAGACTTGGAGGGCACTAGGCTGCTCCTGGAGAGAAGGTAAGCAAATGACCTGAAGGCAGACAGCGTGGAAACAGTGATCTGAAAAACCCCTACAATGGAATATTACTCAGCCATTAGAAACAACAAATACCCACCATTTGCTTCCACGTGGATGGAACTGGAGGGTATTATGCTGAGTGAAATAATAAGCCAATCGGAGAAGGACAAACATTATATGGTCTCATTCATTTGGGGAATATAAAAAATAGTGAAAGGGAATTAAAGGGGAAAGGAGAAAAAAATAAGTGGGAAATATCAGAAAGGGAGACAGAACATGAAAGACTCCTAACTCCGGGAAACGAACTAGGGGTGGGTGGAAGGGGAGGTGGGTGGGGGGTGGGGGTGACTGGGTGGCGGGCACTGAGGTGAGCACTTGACGGGATGAGCACTGGATGTTATTCTGTATGTTGACAAATTGAACACCAATAAAAAATAAATTTATTTAAAAAACTGAAAAACCCCTGGCACACACAGTGGAAGAGTTTATCTGTTCTTCTCGTAGTGTGTCCCTGAGAGCCAATATTTGTGGAGATGCTGCTCTGGGAACAAAGAAGCTGGCTGGTGCTATATCCCTCCCCTGACCTGCAGCATAAACACAGAGCCACCTGTAGGAAGCAACACAGCGTGCTCACACTAGCTGCCTAACCTTCTTAAACCAAGCCCCACATCCCTGCGCTCTGGAGGGCCTGCACTTTCTCTCTCTCTCTCTCTCTCTCTCTCTCTCTCTCTCTTTAAAGATTTTATTTATTTATTCATGAGAGACACAGGCAGAGGGAGAAGCAGGCTCCATGCAGGGAGCCTGATGTGGTACTCCAGGATCACGCCCTGGGCCAAAGGGAAGTGCTCAACCACTGAGCCACTCAGGCGTCCCGAGGGCCTGGCCTTCTCAGTCAATCTTGTTCCAGTCCCAGTGCAGAGGGCCCCTTCCCAGGAGACCAGGAGAAACTCCTGCCCACACCACATCTCCACCAGAGAGCTCTTCAGTGCTTTGGTTCCAGTGCAGGAAGTATCAGGTCTCATTTAACAAGCAGACTAAAGCACACCTACCTAAAACTCACCACATTCTAGCAAAGGACTAAACACTGCCCACTGCAGGTTAAGAGTGCCTCTGCAGACAACCACTCTGAAGGACAGAGCAGCCAAAGCACTCCAGCAGAGTGCAGGCGACACACACCAGAGACGATGCCTGAAGTAGTGCCAGGCCGTGGACACTACATGACCTCTTCTTCATAAAGCCATTGCTCTCAGGAGCAGGAAACATACCTGGCTATTCTAACACAGAGAGGAAGGCAGAGACTTAGACAAAATGCCAGATGGAGGAATTCATCCTCAATGAAAGAACAAGATTAGGTCATGGCCAGAGATCTAAGCAGAAGAGATATAAGTAACATGGGTGTTGGAGAATTTAAAGCAACAATCATAAGAATACTCGCTGGGCTTGAGAAAGAGTGGAAGACTTCAGGGAGACCCTTACCACAGAGATAAGAGAGTTAAGAGGCAATCAGACAGAAATGAATATGGCAATAACTGAGATCCAAAACTGCCTGCAAGTAATGACCATAAGGATGGAAGAAGAAGAATGAATAAATGATATAGTAGATAGGATAATGGAAAATAATGAAGCTGAAGAAAAGACATAAGGACAAATTATGGATCATGAGAAAAGGCTTTGGGAACTCAGTGACTCCATCCAACATAATAAAATTTGTACCATAGGAGTCCCAGAAGAGGAAGTGAGAGAAAAGGGGGCAGAAGGTTTATTTGAGAAAATAATAGGTAAAAACTTCCCTAATCTGGGGATGGAAACAGACGCCCAGGACCAGGAGGCACAGAGAACTCCCACCAAAATCAATAAAAGCAGGCCAACACCAAGACATATTGTGATTACATTTGCTAAATATAGTGATAAAGAAAAATCTTAAAAGCAGCAAGACAAAAGAATTTACAAGGGAAGACACATAAGGCT